ACTCATTTTATCACATTGTTTTTAGTGGCTTTCAGGCTTGTTAAATTCTGCAGTTATAGATATAAAGCATTAGATCAAAGACAGCAGATGCAAATCCTTTGTTTCCACACATATGTCTTGCTGTCAGATCTATCATGCTCATATCTATACTCATCACTCCCCACTCAGGGGTATGTGAGACTTTCACCCAATCTTGCAGTGGTTGGAGTGACTGGTTTGCCCATCCCCTGTTGCATGCTGGGATATGTAGCTGCTAACATTAGCTTCATTTTCTGCAGATGGCGCTCGGCCACCCACTCCATTCTCCGGTCAGTGCCCAAGCGGTGTAGTCCGTTTGAAGTTTAAACTTCCTCTCTTTCAGTTCCTCCTGTTCCCCTCCAGACAGAATGGCCCTGGAGCTCAGAGCTGATTTAAATAAAAGAGAAATCAAGATATCAAAGCTGAGCGTCCAATCACTAGCAAACGAAGCACTATCATTCTAGTATACAGAGATGTTCACAGAGAAAGAAACAACACGTGTAGAATCACAGAGCTCAACAGTGACCACCCACATTGTCAGTAGTCTGGGTTCTGGGAGTATATTTCTAATATACATTATATTATTATTATTAAAATGGTTTAACAAAGGAAGAATCTAGATCTAGATAGATAGATAGATGTGAAGGCAGCACAGGCTCATTATGCCATCAGATTAAGAATGGCTGTTCAGTGTTCTCTCTGTAGTCTGTGTGTCTGCTGAGTGACTGTGTCTCTCTGTTCTGTCTTCCTCAGAGGTGAGAGCTTGAGTATAGCAGGTGTGTAGACGTCAGTCAGGCTGCATGACCTCCATTACTGCTTATTGCTCACTTCCTTCCTTCCTTCCTTTTTTATTTCTGCCTTTATTATTTCCTTCTTGTTTTCCTTTTCTCACATACCTTCCTTTCTTCCTAGTTTTTCCTTTATTTCCTTTTTTCTCCCTCCCTCCCTCCTTCCTTCCTTCTTTATTTTTTATTTTATTTTCCCTTATTTAATTTCTGCTTTCTTTCTCTCCTTCCTTCCTTTCTTTTCTCCCTTCCTTCCTTTTATTTTTAGAAATTTCGGAATTTTCATTTCTGCCTTCATTCTTTTTCTTGCTTTCTTTTTCTTACCTTCATTCCTTCCTCCTTTGTTTTCCCTTCTTTTTATTTATTTCCTCCCTCCCCCCTCCCTCCTTCCATCCTTCTTTATTTTTCTTAAATTTTTCCTTATTTAATTTCTGCTTTCTTTCTCTCCTTCCTCTTTCATTCCTTCCTTCTTTTTTTACTTTATTTCATTTCTGCCTTCATTCTGTCTTTCCTGCTTTCTTTTTCATACCTTCCTTCCTTTATTTTTTTATTTTCCTTATTTAATTTCTGCTTTCTCTCTACTTCCTCCCTACCTTCTTTCTTTTTCTTCCTTCCTTCCTTATTTCCTTCCTTCCTTTTATTTTACTTTTTCATTTCTGCCTTCATACTTTCCTTCTTCCTTCCTTTCTTTCTCACTTTCCTTTCTCCCTTCACTCTTTTCTGAATTCTTTCCTTCCTTTTATTTTTCTTAATTTCTCCATCTCTCCTTCCTTCCATTTTCCTTATTTAATTTCTGCTTTCTCTCTACTTCCTCCCTACCTTCTTTCTTTTTCTTCCTTCCTTCCTTCCTTATTTCCTTCCTTCCTTTTATTTTACTTTTTAATTTCTGCCTTCATACTTTCCTTCTTCCTTCCTTTCTTTCTCACTTTCCTTTCTCCCTTCACTCTTTTCTGAATTCTTTCCTTCCTTTTATTTTTCTTAATTTCTCCATCTCTCCTTCCTTCCATTATTAATTTTTCCTTCCTTTCTGCCTTTCTTATTTCCTTCCATCATTCCTTCATCATTTATTTTTTCTCATTTTGCCATTTCATTGTTTCCTACTGTTTTACCTTTCTTTCTTTCTTTCTTTCTTTCTTTCTTTCTTTCTTTCTTTCTTTCTTTCTTTCTTTCTTTCTGTCCTTTCTTGCATTGGGCTGTTAGAGCGCCCTCGGGTGGTGTCTCTTTTGCAGGGCACATGCATGGAGATGCTGCGGTGCTACTGGAACACTGAGCTCCTTCAAGTCTTGTGTTGCTGTTATGGCGAGAGTGCATTCGAGAAAAACATTGTATGTTTGTAAGCGTGTGCACATATGCCTGAATGCTTAACGCATGCACCATAAATGCCACAGCCAGAAACTGCATCTTATAATTTCTGCTTCTCATGCAAATGTAAATAGCTATTGACGAGGGATGTCAGGCTGTGTGACTGAAGCCATATCTGTCTGGAGTCTTTCTGCACAGATGAAGATCTTTTTTTCTGATTACATGCTGAATTTTCTTCCCACTGTGTGAGTGCTTTAATGTTGATGAATGTGGTTTTTGTTTTTTGTTCTTTCAGAGTCAAGAACTGATCTGTTATTCAAACTAAATGTGTGGACGGGGTTTATTTTGTGTGCATGTGAAAACATAATAATGCTAAATTTAAAGCTGTTTGACTTAGCAAGCAATAAATTACATCAGTAGCGGACATTGGTGGACACAATTATCTAGTGAAATTATTATGACAGGACATTTCATAAGCATGTTCTGTGCATAAATTATGTTAATTATTATAAAACCAGTCATTTTTGGTATTGGTTGCTAGTTAACTTTTAGTGTCACACTATACGATTAATTCACTGAATCTTATAATATACTGTATATATATATAGTATATATATATATATATATATATATATATATATATATATATATATATATATATATATATACAAAAACATTATAAGCATTCATTTATTTATAATACACATGTCAATTGCATCACAGGGTTGACACTGTTTGTCAATGCACATGAATGTAGAAGAATGTAAATTTCATAATATGGCATTGTAGGTTTGTTATACTTGTGTCTTTTGCTGTTGCTTAGCGTTTTTTTGGATACGCTCTTGTTTACAAAGTTGTAATCGTTGCATAAGTGTGCACTAGTCCCAAACTGTCCTGTTAATGTGTGTGCGTGTGTGCGTGCGTGCTGTACTGTACATCGGATGCTGTCTGCAGCTGCTTATGTAATCCACGAGATAGAAATAAGGTCAAATGATGGATCTTCATGTTATATAATCCCCTTATGTGAGTCTAGTCCTGTTTGTCTCTGGTCACTGGTCATTTTTCAGCCCTTATAAGCAGTTTTGAATGGAAGATTGTCTAATCTTGAGGTTGTTTGAGCAGGTTTGCTGTCCTGATATCTGTTGGTTAGAAATGCTATTATAGAGTTTGTGATATTACGAGTGCCTGTGTATGTTGTGAATGCGTTTTAAAGCGTAAGTGGCTGTGCAAACGTTATGCGTGATTGATTAATTCAGGTCTTTGATTTTTAAAGCCCACAGAGGCACCTCAGGTGGATGAGTCGGGGGTAAGAAATTCTGCCCCTCTTGGGCTTTTTGCCCAGTTTTACAGTCTGCATTCTTTTTCAGGTTTCCGTTTGAGTTCTGAAATCTTGATTAAACATTGTTACCTTTCATCTTAACCCACCCTGACTTCAATTTGTTGAGTGTTGGCTTTATTTTTACGTTTGGTTTCTCTTCGTTTGCTTTGTTTATCAAGATTTTGCTTTGGTTTTTACATCCTTTGACTATTTTGTCAATTACGGGAGTGTCACCCAAACGTGACGAACTGTGTGAGTGTGTGTGTGGGTGGGGTCGTCGGCCCCTCACGTTTGTAGCGCTGACACTGCTGCATGGTTAAGTGGCCCCTGAAGTCAGGTCAGATTAGGTCGGATCGGGTCAGGTAAGGTTGTGACCTCAAACTGACCTTTAACCTGTGAGGTTTGGGGGCCCACTGTAAGTTGGCATGAAGTATCTCTGGGTCAAGAGTGCCATGCTTGTGCTGATGCGTGCAGTCAAGTATGGCAAGGTTTTTTTGTTTGTTTGTTTTTTTCACCCAGCATGCACCCCTCTACCCCCTTCCTTTTCTCTCTAGGATAAGCATGAAACGCAGGGTCTCTGGTAGTGTTTATGGATCAGTCAAACCAGACTAAATACTCTTTTAAATAGAAATACTCTTCTAAATACTGAAGTTCCAAATTCAAAATTAGCATTTTTTTTTTTTACATTTATAATTTAATTTTTTTTTAAATTTGGCTGTAAATAAATCATCTCACCCCATGCTTTGAAACTACAATGTGGTTCCCTCTGCTGGTCAAACTGCCTTAATACAGCCTGATGCCCTGTGTTATATCTTTCTCTTGATTGGTAAATGAGATATACAGTTCTCTGCTTGCAGCGCGTCAGTAACGCTCGTCAAGAAAGTGAGTGAAACACACACAAACACACATTTTACCCTGCCTGCTCAGGCTGCGTGCTCACTCCACTAGGGGTGTCGTATCGTCCTGGGCGCTGGCTCGTGCTGCCTTGCTAGCAGATATTTGTAGGGCTGCGGGCTGGGCGACTCCTAACACGTTCGGTAGGTTCTATAGCCTACGTGTCGAACCGGTGTCCTCCTGTGTTCTCACCTTAAATGGGTAGTGGCACTGAGAGGCCTGGTTCAGAGTCGGCTTGCAGTGTCCTTAATGCCTAGTTCTCCAGAGAGTTCCCTAAACGGGTTAACCCTGTCAAGTCCTCCAGCACTCCGGCAGCCAGACGTGGCAGAGCCTCCGGCACCAGGCCTTTCATCCAATGAATTCCTGAAATCTGGTGTGAGGCTAGTGCCCATATAAGTGACCCTGTTGGGATCCCATATGTGTATTCCATGGTACAGTTGCTAGGGCCGTGTTTCCCCTGGCAGACTGCGTTCTGCCGTCTCTAAAGGATGCAGCCCTGGGCCATCTCAGAGACTTCCATGTGCAATAGGGCCCTACTGGGGTTAAGTGACATGAATAAATGTCACTTAACCCCACTCCGCAGCTTCCCTCTTCCAAGTGGAAGGGCACGCTTTCCCAGTGTTATCCAAGTCCTACTGTTTGGGTTGCTCGAGGAACAGCAGTAGTCGACCTTCTCTGTGTAGAGTCATCATCTTGATGAATTTAAGAGGATTTGGTCAGAGTATGATCCAGAGGCCAAGTAAGGATGTGAAAATGTGTTTGTCAAGTCACCTTTATTTCTATTGCGCTTTATATAATACAGATTGTTTCAAAGCAGCTTGTAAACAGTAAAAAAAGCAGTAATAAACAGGAAAACAAATTCAAATTCTGCTGTAAAGCAGCTCTAAAAAACAACATTTGTGGCATTATTCAGCTCAAGTTAGTTCAGCTTTGGTTCAGTTCAGTTCAACAGCTGTCAATATTGCAAAATTGGTCAATTATGAAACGAATTAAATTTGCCTCAATTCTCAATATGGCAGTTACTTGTCCAGAGTAGCAATGAGATGAAGAGTAAATGGAGAATTTTTCAGTCAGTGTTTCTCTCACTCATTTTATTACAGAGGCAGAATAAAACATCTTGATGTAGTGACGTTGTTGCGCCGTATTCAGCCTCCTCTTGGCTTTGGGAAGCTCTGTCCTCATAGAGTCGCCTGCAAGGTAAGACACACATTTATAAGTAATGCGTTTGAACATTAGTAAACACACCCGACCCACCTTCTCACTCTCTTTCTTTCTATCTGTTGTTGTGTCTCTATTCCAGAGGCTGGTGGCTATGAACATGCCTCTGAACAGTGATGGCACTGTCATGTTTAATGCTACACTTTTTGCTCTTGTGAGAACTGCACTGAAGATCAAAACGGAAGGTATGTGCATTCTTCGCAGAACTACTAGTATTGGTTTGCAAATTACTTTATACATTTTATTTCAATGAATTAATTCAAATCAACTCCTTTGCATCAGTCACAAAATATGTCTTAAAATGTTTTAGTGAAATATTAATATAGGTAAACATTTAATCTATGTAGTAACACTATGTATGGGGTTTTGAGTAAATATGATTTGAAAAAAATATATATCTTTTGCTCACCAAGGCTGCATTTATTTATCTAAAATATATTAATATTTTGACACATTATTACAATATCAAATAACTGTTTTCTAGTTTAGTATATTTTAAAATTAAAATGTGTTTTTCTGTGATGCAAAGCTGAATTTTCAGCATCATTACTCCAGTCTTCAGTGTCACATGATCCTTCAGAAATCATTCTAATATGCTGAGTTGGCGTATCTTATAATTAACAGTGTTGAAAATAGGTGTGCTGCTTAATATATTTGTGTAAGCCATGATAAATTTTTCAGGATTTTATTAATAACTAAATATTCTAGTATTACGTATAAATGTATTTACTGTCACTTTTGATCAATTAAATGCATCTTTGCTAAATAAAGGTATTAACTGACCCCTTTTGAACAGCAGTGTATATGAGTATGAGTATATTTAAGTATAATATCATTAAATGTTACTGCTTTTTGCATTCATTTAGTGAAAAATGGACAGTGGAAAATATTTTACTATACTTTGTGAATTAAACATTATATTAAAAGTGTGGTTCCTCTGAAATCATCCATAAATCACCCTTTTTAGGCTGTTCAGAGTAAATGCATGACTATAGAATATCAAAATATACTATCAAAATATAGAAAATTTGCCTTTTTTCAGTCCTAGTTGGCAGTAGTGAAGAGAAACTACATTGTGTTGATAACATGGTGTGTGTTTTGACCCAGGTAACCTAGAGCAGGCGAATGAAGAGCTCCGAGCCGTGATTAAGAAGATCTGGAAGAGAACAAGCATGAAACTTCTGGATCAAGTGGTGCCCCCTGCTGGTGGTCAGTTATAAAGCTCAGAGATTGTCGCCGCTAAGGAGAATACGCATTCACAACATAGATGTATAATATCCCTGTCAACTCACACCTAAATCATCCATTTAGATAAAAATATCATTTTTGAACACACTTCAGTTTCCCAAATGTAGCATAAACACACACATACTATACATTTGTGTCATGCACACACACACACACACACACACACCAGCTGTCGCACTAGCTTTTTCCTGCTGTTGTACTCTTAGTTTCTCCAAGTCGGGTCTCTGCGATGTTTGTTCTGTTCCGTATGTGTCGCAAATGCTCTCCTCTCCTGCTCGGTACCACACTGCGTCCACACTGGAACCTCAATGATGTGTGTTTGTGTGTGTGTGTGTGTGTGTGTGTGCGTTTTTGTGACAAATGAGGACATAAATTTGTATAATGACAAAGGTATGACATAGGTATCACAAGGAGAAGGTGACTTTTCAGGACATTACCCCATGTCCCCACTTTTCAAAACGCTTATAAATCACACAGAATGGAGTGAATTGAAAATCTGAAATAGCACAAAGTCTCCTGTGAGGGGTAGGTTTAGGGGTAAGGTTGGTGTAGGGCAATAGAATATACGGTCTGTACAGTATAAAAACCATTATGCCTATCGGATGTCCACACTTTTCACAAAAACAAACCTGTGTGTGTGTGTGTATATATGGTTGGAGGATTTGGTGAAGGTGTGTGTGTGTGTGAGTGAGTATATGGTTGGAGGATTTGGTGTGTGTTGAGCTTTGGGCTTGCATGGCAACTCAGGCATGCTGTGTCCTTCTAAAAATGTGTCTCTTTCTTTCTATTTCTCTCTCTTTTCTATGCTGTCGCTCTCTCCTGTATCTGCTTGAGCTTTTCCGCAGCTTCTGTTCCTCATTAATTGTCTTTCTGTTCATGTAAAAGTTCAAATCTTCAGAATATTCTGAAGCAATTCTGTTTTAGGGTGGTGGCATGGAACTAATGTTGCCTCTTCTTTCCTGATCTGTCCCCAACGTGCTTGTTTAAAAAAAAAGTGACACAGACCCCTGCTTCAGAATGATTCTCACGCACACACTTACACATACAGTACATGAACAGAACATGCAGATGAACACTTTATACTATACACATAGATGATTGAAATGCATATCCAAAAACAGGATATTAGACATGCACAAATACACCCACAGAAATGCAACGCTAATGTGCTAATATTGCTCAGTGCTGCTTGCTTGCATGTTCCCAGTAGAACTTAAACACATTTAGGTCTAGATTTTAGTGAAATTAGATGGCTTAACTGATGCGTTTTTTTAAACCCCCGCCCTCACCTCAAACTTTCAGTTATCTCTCTCACATTTGCTATGCTAATGTTAACATGCTAATACTAATATGTTTACTCATCTGGTGACTCAAATTAGATGGGTGCCAAACCGTGAATATGAAATATTCTACAACTAACATTTACATTAAGCTGGTAGCTATATTTTGGAACAGGATAGCTAGTTTCTAGTTGGTCATTAGCTGTTTGACTTGCTGGTAGCTGATTTGTTGCTGGTCCAAGGTGGTCTACCAGCTAATAACCAGCTAGAATCCAGCTACTGTGTTCCCAAACACAACTAGCAGCTTAAGTTGAATTTTCCACATATTATTATAATTTGTCTTAGATCTAGTTTTAATTTTATTACTTTTACAATACCATTGTGAATACAGTTTGTAAACCTAACAACTATTAATTGTAATTATCTATATTTCTAGCATGAATGGCTAGGTAAAAAAACAGCACAAGTTTTGCATTTTATATATGTATATAATTTTTCATTATTTATATACAAATCATTTTTTAATACTTTTATTACTACTTTTTTAGCATAGATGCATTCAAATGATTCAACATTGATAATAGTAATGTTACTTGAGCAGCAAATCAGCATATTATAATGATTTCTAAAGGATCATGTGACACTAAAGACTGGAGTAATGATGCTGAAAATTCAGCTTGGCATCATGTGAATTGATTGCATTTTAAAATATATTTAAAATAGAAATCAGTTATTTTAAACTGTAATAATATTTCACAGTATTACTGTTTTTACTACAGTTTTATAAAATAAATACAGCCTAGTGTAGAGTACTGTATATGCATTCAAGGTGACTAAAACAGCAAAATGTATCGGTGTCTTGTGATGTACAGCATAATTTGCTCATTTATGTGGTGTTTATTAATTAAGACCATCTGTGTTTATTATGTAGATATAGATCCTATTTTACGAGCCATTTGTGTAGAAATCCAGATAATTCTAAATGGGTTATTAACCTTTGATTCACAAAGCTCTTTTAATAGTACATAGTTAAAATAACATAAAGCATCTCATTGCATCAGTTTCTGTCTCTCACCGTACGTCACAGCAGAGGTGTGTATGCGTGCGTTGAAACTACTTGCTGACAGCGAAGCCGTGTGTGTGGTCTGTTCACTCAGATGATGAGGTAACGGTGGGGAAGTTCTATGCCACTTTCCTGATACAGGACTACTTTAGGAAATTCAAGAAACGCAAAGAGGAAGGCCTGGTGGGCGTTCACCCAGCACAGAACAACACCGCTATCGCCCTGCAGGTAAGCAGAACGTGCTTGGAGATAGAATTTTGTTGATTCTTTAGAGTTAATAAGTTGTATGTTCTTTTATGGTCATAATGTTGTTGGTTTTGAACTTGGTGCATTGACGCTTACAGAAATTGCATCACTGAAGGTCATTCTCAAACTCTGGGGGAAAGCCATTTATATTTTTCATTGCTGAATTATTGTATTGTTAGCACAACTTTTTGTTCTTTATTTATTTATTTTTGAATTGAATAGAATTAAATGTTCCTAAATGTACCCCAAGAGATTTCTTGTCAGCCGAATCTCTAAAATATTTAGTTAATGAACCCCCTGAAATTAATATTTAAATTATTAACACACTGAAATGTTTGCAGCTGTCCAAAGTCATGACATATAAGTAAAGTGTTTTTAGTGTTTTATTTTATTTGGTTTTAAAATATTATACATTATACATGCTCCTAAATAGCTGAAATTGTTCACTTTACATTTTGATCAAAAAAGTGTGTTTCTTATGCCAGAATAAGTTCCAATGTTATGTTAATCAAAAGCAAATCCATATCAGTGTAAACACCCTGAATAATCAAAAAAAAAAAATTACAAACTGTATTTCCTTTGCATGAGACCTTCTTTACCTTAACTGTATCTCTCTGTTTCTGGATGCGCTAATGCTGTTTTAGCTTGAATGTGGATCCCTCAATGTGATAATGGTGATCTGTAAATGTATTTTTGTCTGTTATACATGTAGTTTGAAGTGTTTGTATTTGTTTGCCATCACTTCAGAGTTATAATTCATGTATTATTGGTTTAAGATGTTTTGTTGGTCTCCATCCTCATAAATCAAACACTACTAATGTGTTTGATTTCTCTGCGAACATAATCCTTTTTTAGAGGTTTTTAGTTAACCATAGAAATGGTTTACACTTTTGAAATGTTAGAAATATTTTAAACACAAAACGTTAATGTTTCTAAATAGCATATGTGGCTAATATAGTATTTTTTAGAAAGTCACAGTAAAGGCTAGCATCTTAGATAAAGTGTATTAGTTGTAGTGTAATTACAGAAGCGTTTTCGTGTTTTTCCTCTTTGTCTACTGTGATTTGTTGTCATCTCACATGAATTTGTCCTGTCTGGAACTGTCTTCGTCAAGCTTGTGTGTCAATGTGTCTGGTAAACTGCCCCCTGGTGGCATGTGTGTGTGAGGGTCTCCGTTTTCAACATGTAGCTGCTGTTCAAGGGCTTTCCATTCAAGAGCGGGTCCTTAGCTATCTTGTCGTCACGGTTTCAGGCTGGCCTTCGTACGCTGCATGACATTGGGCCAGAAATCCGCCGTGCGATATCATGTGACCTGCAGGATGATGAGCTAGTAGACTTTATACCAGAGGAGGACGAAGAAATTTATAGGGTAAATTACTCACCTTTTATGACCACTTTCTCCTTATAAAATCGATCTGTACCTTATTGTCTCACTTTAACTGCCTGGTACAAATGAAAACAGTTGTTTTTAATAGTAACGTTTCCTTAAGGGAGTTGCGATGAATTGTTCGCCATCCCTGGATGTCATACACACTTAGATTAAAACCTTGAATAGGGATAAAGTAGCCAAGTTGACAATATAAAAGGTTGACTTTATTGAAGATTAAATAATAGGTACATTTGTATGGCAGGTTTGTAGTAATAACATTAGCCTTAGTGTAGCATATCTAATTCAGTGTATCTGCATTCCTCTTGATTTCAAATTCAGTTCAGATTTAATCAGTTCATGAAATTCACTCACACCATACGCCATTTTACCTCCTTTCCAACTTCTTTTTCCCATGAGATCATTAAAAATGGCAATCAAATGACTTGACATTGGATAAACGGTCAGAGACGCCATATTTCATTTTTTGCAAAGGTTGTGTGGGATAAATTTTTTGACAGCAAAAGGACATTTTTTTGTTTATTGCATCAGCAAAAGGACAATATTTCACTTGCAGCCTGTACATCTATTCGTTAAGGGCCATTCACACCAAGGATGATAACTATAACGATAACAATTGTTCAAATTCAATGAGAATAGTGAAGTCCACATCATGGCAATAACGATAACAACACTGAGGGATGATATTGTTGGGATCACTTTTAGAACTATTTTTTTTTCCAGCTGATGAACAACTAAAACATTGACAGCCAATCAGAATCCGCTCCGAATCTGCGTTTAGGCGGCAGGCGACAAAATTGCAGCGAACACGTAAAATAAACAGAACCTTATCGTCCTTTGGTGTGGATATAGTTTTTTATAATTATAGTTATCTTTTTAGTTATTGTTCTTACATTTTTGTTTCATTTGTGAAATCGTAAATATGGCGTCAACCCTGACAAAAGTCCATTGCGTATTTCTTTAAACTTACAAACACAAGTATATCTTCACAGCGAAATGGAGGACTCTTTGGCAACCACATCAACCACATAAATGGAGACCCCCGGAGGAGCTCCGGCCACCAGACAAATGCCACACAGCGCCCCCTGCAGGTGCAGCCACCTCCACATTATGCCCACATGGAACAGCCCATGGGGCGCCTGGGCCGCGCCAATGCCATGGCGCAGCAAAACCATCATCGCCACCACCACCACCATCATCACCATCATCATCATCACAACTCCTACAACAAGTCGCCCAAGTCTACCAACATCAACCTCAACAACGCCAATGTGTCCAGCTTACCCAACGGAGGACACAATCGTTACTATGAGCACATGCCCGCTAACGGTTACCCGGGATCGTACTACGGAGAATACGACAAGCCCAGGAGCCCTCACGGACAAAGGTGAATGCTTGTTTTGTTCATCCAACATCTTGATTTGACTATTTTGGGATATTTATTTGTATGTATTCAATCAATGATTTGTCAGTGCTAGCATTTTTAGATTTATAGATATAGAATTATAATAGCTAGCTATTATATTGTAATCTCATGTGTCACTGACTTCTTAAACCAATTCCTTCAATCTATTCGGATTGACTGGAATTGCTTTAGGACGGGAGTTTTTCAAGGTCTTAAGTAATTGATTTCTTTAGTAGATTGATGAAGATAGTGACTTTTTAAACTCTGCATTCATTTACATTTATGCTTTTAGATGATTATTCATCTGCATTATAATCAGCTTTAAGATCTGTTCAAATGTACCATTGTTTGCCGAATTTTCACAGGCGAAATCCAGTCATTTCAATTGGAATGGGTGTGAGTGAAATTTCCCCATGCAGTTTTTGCAACAGCTTCAAGTTGGTCCCACAAATTCGCAACAGAAATCTGCTTTGTTTTAAAGTGACTTCTGTGTGAGCTGGGCTTCGTTCATCGCTATATTATTAACAATAGACAACTGATCTTTTTGCCCTCAAAATTTGGCTGAAATTTTCCTAATGTGACCGTACCTTTAGATCATTAGATTTAAATTATTTTCTTTTTTAACATTTATCCACCTTTGAATCAAACCACCTGGCCCTTGTCCTCCCACTGCCCTCCTCTCACCTACACTGGTCCATTATCTGACCATGGTGATACCATGTTTTCTTCAAGGTGTTTTCACAAATATGATCTCACGAGTAAACGTAACTATTTTACGAGGTGCTGACTTCGTTTGAATTCATACTCAATGTTTTGTATGGAAATGTATGATTTTTAGAGAAAAATTTAGTATGAAGGTTCACACCACTCCTAAAGCTAACCGTCAATGAGGCTTAAGCAGATTGTACAAACGTACAAATGAAATCATACATATTAAAGGGGTCATATGATGTTGCTAAAAAGAACATTATTTTGTGTATTTGGTGTAATGAAATGTGTTTATGCGGTTTAAGGTTCAAAAAACACATTATTTTCCACATACTGTACATTATTGTTTCTCCTCTATGCCCCGCCTTTCTGAAACACGTAGATTTTTACAAAGCTCATCGGTCTGAAAAGCGAGGTGTGCTGTGATTGGCCAGCTATCCAGTGCGTTATGATTGGCTGAATACCTCAAGCGTGTGATGGAAATGTTACGCCCCTACCATAATGTGATGCCCTGTCAGGCCGGAGCCCATTATAAATGAGGCATTCGTTGCATCCAGTGGGGACATAATTATGGATTATAATGACTTATACTGTCTTTTTACGCATTGCATCACGCCGCGTAAACATAAAACCATGTCTGCATTTGTGATCGGAGAAATGACAAACAACAAGCGCTACTCTACACCTAGCGTGAGGAATGGCCGGAGGGCTAGAGTGAGCAGAGGCGGTGGGCTTGAGAACGGCGCGGCCGGCGGATTCGACGAAGGAGCGTCCGGAGGGCTTGCGGCAATCACATGTGACGACCCCGGGCTGGATCTACAGCGCGAAGCTGATGTATTCCCTCAGCGACCAGCACGGATCATCTCCAGGCATGACGAAGCGGATATCGTCCTCTTTTGGAAGGCCAAACAAAGTAGTTTCGCTTTCACAACGAATCACACAACGCCTTCATGACATGACGGGGGCGGCTGCAACAATAATACAGTGAGAATAAAAGTTACACCTTCTTTCTTTGCATGCAGGGTTTGAAATTAACACCTGCCAAATGTGGGTAAAAATCAGCTATAGCGGGTAACGCTGTAAAATCACTAGCCAATTTGGCGGGTTACTTTTTTGTAAATTATGTTTACTAATTAATTTCTTGAGGAAGTTCATGTAAGCCAAATCTGCACAGATTTAGTGTAAATACTGAACTCGAGACTCATCATGATATTAAATAAGCCTAATTGCGCAGCATCTGGGCATCTAGCTTACTTGAACATACCCAGCGATGTAGCTACTGGCCATCGGGAGCACCGGGACATTCCCGGTGGGTCGATCGCCGAAGCGAGGGAGACCTCATTTTAGGCGCTATTTTTAGCCCACGTGAAACTGCAAAAAGCAAGTACTCCAAAAGTGTGAAGCGGCGCTACCCGGTGCATCCGCCAGCCACGCGCTAAAGCAGTCTCCCGCACAGCGCTGCGCTTCCGCCACGATTTATAAGAGATAAACAGCGCAAATAGCTCTATCCATTCAGAAATAACACAGAATTGTGTTATACAGTTGTGTGATATGACAACATTAAAGGTTCTGCCTGAAAACAGCCATGACAAGGTAAAATGCATGTAAACAAACTGCAATGTAAACAAACTTTAATAGCTTATCTTTAAATGTTTCATTCTAATTAATTTTAATTTAAGTAAAATGTTAATTCAGTAAGAGCCTGATTAAAGATAAAAATCAGTGTCTCTGTAATTTAGAGACACTTATAAATGAGGTGTTTTCCATTTATAAATATTATAAAGTTCTTAAAGGGATAGTTCACCCAAAAATTAAATACAACCCATTATAATCGGTGATGCGGCCTGCACTGGATGTGGCACAGCACAGCACGACAAATCCCCGACAGTAAACTGATGCCTCGTTCTATTTATGACTTAGGCCTACTGTTTGACAAAGTACAAATGATTTGCAATGGTCTCACATCCAGTGTGGACAGCCTCAAGCTGTTGGCTTACCTTTTTTTCATAATTTATTTGTTAAATTTTTTTGGCTAGTAGAAATTAAGAATGGCCGGTAACTTAAAAATTTAGTAGCCAAATTGGCTGGTGAGTGAAAAAGTTAATTTCAAACCCTGTTTGCGTGAACATTTGGGCGGTGTTATGCAAATCTTTCCACATAGTGAGATAGATATGTGGGGGCGTGTTAGAACGAGCCGTTTTAGGTAGGTGTGGCTGACTCTTAACTTTTATAAAGAATATCTCTTTGGATTTGAGACTTTAGTCTTTGCAACTTTACAAATCTTCTTTATGCACCAAGAGCTTGTAACACTCCAAAGAGAAAGGAAAAATTGAAATCGCATCATATGACCCCTTTAAGATGAATTTACCACTAATTTGCCAAAACGTAAAATAGTTACAAATTTCAATGAGTGTGTTACTTTACTCTAGCACATTTGATGCAAACCCAAGTCCATTTGAGATGTTTGCCAACCTTGATATTGGACGCCAAGATACAGTTTTACTTTGCTGTCTCATCGCTGTAATTAGGCCATTTCTTGGTGAAGGTTAATGAGATAATGAGGCTTGACATGGTCATCTGTGCAAAATTTAGCCAACATTAGACAATATGTGTATAATTCACAAAGACATTTTGTTAAAATCCTTGTAAGATTGACCCAAGGAATCGGAGAGGAAACAGAATTATGTTTTAAAACCAATTGGTTCATTTACAAGAAAAAGATAGTCCGAAAATTTGGATGAAATTGAAAATGAATCAAATGTTCAGACCTTCCATAATCAGTTTCTACCAACTTCAAAAAGTGAAGCCAAAATTTGTATCTTTTTGGTGCTTATTTAGCTAGCCAAACCACATAATGCAAAGTTAAATCATACGTGAGGGACGGAGGACGGGACAACTTTGGACAAAGCAATCGAACCAAGTGTGAAAACAGCCTCACATACTGTATATGAAAATGCTGTATATATCGTGTATATACTGTATAATATATGTGTCCATCCATTCCTTTATCCTATTCCTCTGCTTCTCTCCACCTTTCTCTCTTTCCTTCCTAACGGAAATGCTTTCTCTTAACCATCTCTCTGCTTTCTGGAACAGAAGGCGCTACTATGAGACGTATATTAGGTATGTTACATTAGGTATTATATGTTCACATAGCAGGTACTAATGCTTGTAGAGAAACATGGTGAATGATAAGCAGAACTATGTCCAGTGAATAACGGCGTTGGGATTTCCACCTCGTCCCTGTCCCATATGGTGCTTTAAGTTGACTTTACATGTCTGCGAGACTGGTGCTCTTGAAGGACTGAGAGTGCTATTTGGGACAGGGCCTTATACACACACAGAGAGACTTTCTACAAAACTGGAACAAGTTGATAGGAACATCTAGTAAAGCATTAACAAATCAGGATGCGTCTTTGAGTCTCTATGTGTTGTGATTGGGTGATGAAGGGAAAGAGGTGGGGCTTGTTGCATGTGTCTGCTGGATAACCGGTGCTAACAAAATGAAATGCTTGCCTTAAAGGATGACTCATCAGATTAATACTTCATAGAAATGCAAATAACACTTAATCACAATGTTTATTTATAGTTAAATTATTATGTGGTTTATTTTTCTAAAACAAGAGTTGTCCTTTAAGTTCACCTCTGCAAGGATGTTGAGATGTCTTATTTAATGGGCCAGTGGGGCTGTAAGTCTGTCTAGACCTTAGAGTAGATGCCATATCTTTCTTGGACAAAAGCGTGGCTGTGAGTCATAGAAGTATAGTTTGCTCAACATCTTATTTATTTATTTATTTAGACAAATTCAAATGAATGGAAGAATATATTCTATTTTTTCCCTTTTTTGATCACCTGCTGAATGGTACATGCAATGGTGGAAAAACTATTCTGAAGCAGCAATTTCCCAAGCAACATTATTCATATTTTTAAATACTTATATTACAATAATGCTACTATTACTTTTATTTTAGGTAGTTATTCTTATAAAAAAAAACTACACTACGTTAGTAACAAAGAAGTAGCTAACAACATATACACTGCTCTAAGGTGCACGCTTTTTTTAATTATACTGAATATATTAAAATACACAATGTAAAAATAATTTATTTATTTAAACTGTATTTTTCCAATCAGAACAGTATTTATATAGAATTTAGTATTTTAGTATTTTATTAGTTTGTATAAAATATGTAATACTGTTATAAGCAAATGCATTTTCACAGAAAAAAACACGATGTGGAGTTTTGTCAAGTTAGACAGCTACGTGTTGTAAAAAGAGTTATTTTAGTAATATTTATATACTAATATAGTTTTATAAATAATGTAAATTGTTGTTTATTTTATATTTTCAGTTTATTTTGTATATTTTGTAGTACTTTTGTCTTATAATAATATTTAGGTTTAATTCATCTTATTTTAGTTCAGATTTAATTATTTATTTCTAGTTTGTAATTTTAGTGTTTCAATTTCAGTTACATTTCTAATTTTCTTACTCCTCAAAATTTGGAATGTGGAAAAAACTGGATGATGTCAGTTTCAAAATTCTTGTTTAATTTTTTTGACATATTAGAGTCAAAAGTTTTTACAGAGGGAATTTTGGGTATCTCATTTTTGTCACTCCATAATTAAGAAAATGCTTAGAATGGACAGAAAACACTATATTTCAAAATTTAAATGTTTTATATAATCAAGAAAATTACATATGAACAAATCCCTCTGTAAAAACCTTCAGGATATAGACAGGAATAAAAATGTAAAGTTTGGTGTGTGTAAGTGCTATTGAAGTGGAGATTTATGGCTCAATGTAGGAGAAAAAACTCATTTTGAGAAAACGGCCTTTAAAAATATGTATTATAATTGAAATCTATTGACACAGATAGATAAAGTGCTATAAAAGAAACACTTAACAGTGTCTTTTGGATGTTTTCTTTCCACTAGACTGAAAAAACACTTTATGAAAAACCAAAAATCCCAAAATCTCAAATTTGCATAAAAAAACTGTGTTTTTGCCTGCATTGTCTCCCCTTAAAAAGAATAGCTGAACATAAGTTCACGGAAAAAAATATATTGTGTAAACTGTTACTACTTTGAGTTATTATTTTGGAATAAATGTAAAAAAAAATGCTTAAAACACTAACTTGATGAGATTAATACTTGGCTTTAATAAATAGAATATTGATTACATTGTTAATGTAAAAATATAAAATAGAATTGTTTTTTTTCTGATTGTGTAATGTTTATTTAAAGGGGTCATATGATGCTATTTTAAAGATCATTATTTTGTGTTTTTGGTGTAACAGAATATGTTGACATGCTTTAATGTTCAAAAAACACATTCTTTTTCAAATACTGTACATTATTGTAGGTCCTCTATGCCCCGCCTCTCTCAAACGCTTCGTTTTCTACAAAGTCCCTCCTTCCGACAAGTGCAGTCTGCTCTGATTGGCCAGCTGACCCAGTGCATTGTGATTGGCCGAACACCACAAGCACGCGTCGGAAATGTAACGCCCCTATAATCGCCAGCTTCAGCTTTCAAATTAAATATCAAGACAGTTAATAATGTCGTTAGTTTTACCTAAATGTGACTGGGACATTAATTTACATTTGATAAAAAAAAAAAAAAAATGAAGGACCTCCTCATTTCAGAACACCACTGATACATATATATATATATAAAAGCTACACTGTTTTAAAAACAGCTACTGTCAAAATAGTGAAGTTAGTAGCACTTTTAGTTAGCAAATGTTTAACACGGTATAATATATTGACCAGACTGTACTTTTTTCACAGCTTAATTTTTATGTCAGTAAAATGTAGAGTATTCACTCTAAGGTCTATGCTTCACAGTCACTGAAGACATCTAGACGCGGTGCACTGAAAACTTCAAGCTGAATATCTCTGAGCTGAGACTAGATTTCTTAAGACTGTACAGCTATTTACTAAAGAATATATGCAGAAGCTAGAAGGGCCACGACACTGCTGACAGCTGTCTTGATAAGATTTTGCTTGTTTTGAAATGAGGTCTAACCCCGTCACTGCACTCTGGAGCCGTACGTCTGCATGGTAGTGCATGGTTATTCGCTGACTCAGTGACCACAATCTAACCGGCCTCTCACTGACCTCTTGACCTTCACGCAGGTCGCAGGGCAGCGACAGAAGACGACCCACTATACGCCGCGAAGAGGAGTATGAAGAAGATCGTTACTCTGGAGAGTACTACAGCGGAGAGGAGTTTTACGAAGATGACAGCATGCTGTCGGGTGACAGGTAAAACTGTTGCAACTGCTGCACGGCCCATTTCAAATAAATCACATTTACAGAAGTTCATCCGAGGGTGTTTACACGTCCTTGTGCAGGTGCCCCAACAGTGACCAGGAATACGAGACGCCACGGGGTTACCATCATCCTGACAGTTACTATGAGGATGACGAGCAGCCCCTTTATCATGATTCATGTAGGTCACCAAAGAGAAGACTGCTTCCTCCAACACCGCAAGGCAAGTCTTGGGGTTCCTTACTTGGCCCTCTGCTTAATGGTTCAGCTTTGTTCAGCATCAGTGTCGGAAAATATTAATCACTCTCGTTTATAGGTAATCGGAGACCATCGTTTAATTTTGAGTGTCTGCGCAGACAGAGTAGTCAAGATGATCTTCCTCACCAGCACACCGCTCTTCCATTACATCTCATGCAACACCAGGTAACATTAAATACGACACTATTGTTCTGTGACGTGGAGTATATGACATTATTATGTTAAGGCTGAATATGGTAATATTTTAAAGAATAATAAACCATATTTATTAAAATAGTATTAAAATGAACATATATATATATATGTAATTCTTTTTATTTAATAATTATTAAAATATTATATAATAATAAAATATTTATATATATATATATAAATATTTTTTATTTTTTATATTTAATAATCATTAAAATGATAGCAACTAATAAATATAGAATTATTATTATATATAATATATAGATACAGAAGCCATTTAAAGCATAATTGACAACAATAAATGTCTGTATATAAAAAAACATGTACATTTAAAATATTATATGTATATATATATATATATACATACACACACACATACAAACACATTCTTTTACAATACATTGGTGTATTTATGTCTTTTATGTTTAAAGCTGGTTCTTTATTACTTTATTGATATGACTGTTTGTCTTGAATAGTTTCTTTAATCCATGTTTACTTCATTTAGAAAAACTTTTCATGACAGTGTTTTAATTGTATTTTTTTAGTTTTAATATTTACAGATAATACTTGTTACTTTATAAATAGAGTATAAATTAGCATGCAAGAAATTGATTTTGGTATCAACTATTAAATTTTATTACAACCCTACATGCCAGCATAGTATTATGTACAGCATTTTTTGTGTATTTATATTGCACTGTATTTTAAAACAATACATTTCTATTGGCCACTGTACTTGTTGGTCCAGGTGATGGCGGTAGCAGGCCTAGACTCCAGCAGGGCTCACAGGCTTTCACCTACTCGATCTACCAGATCATGGGCGTCACCTCCTCCCACTCCTGCAAGTCAAGACCGAACGCCGTACTACACGCCGCTTATCCGCGTGGACCGTCCTCTGAGGGACAGCGCCCACAGCAGCCACTCATCCATCAGGAAGAGCTCGTGGTATACAGACGACCCTGAGTACCAGAGGAACTACTCGCCCGTTCACCTGCAGGTGCCACCCGAGTACAGAAACCAGTACCACCAGAAGAGAGGCAGCGCTACCAGCCTGGTCGAGGCGGTGAGTTTCAGACCTCTTTTGCCATTTATGAGATGTAGGCTGACAAACATGAAAATCAGTATCTTTTTTTAGCATTTTTTTTTTCATCAAGTCTTGATGACTTTCAGGAAATGTCTCGGTATTTATGTATTTGCTATGAAACGCTTTCAAAGTTTATTTATTTAAAAGCAATTTAAACAGAGCTAAGTAGATACAAATTGAAATGGTAAATAAATACATAAACAAATAAACACAAGGAAAACATTTGTTTATGTATATTTTAATGCTGTCAAAATTATCGCGTTAACGCAGGTGATTAATTCTTTCAGTTTAACACGTTAAAAGTATTTAATGCAATTAACGCGGGGCAGATCTAGGGTTGACAACCCCACTCACAACTGCTGCTTCTGTCACTTTTTCTCTTGACAAGAAGTGCATTTATTCAGTCGCAGAACGACTGAGAATGGGAGACGTTTCAGACGCTCGCTCCAACTTCACTTCAGCGCCAGGCAGGAGTCAAACGAGCACAGAAACGGTACTGTGCTCGCAGCGCGTGCTCTTCAATCGCACGCACAAACGCCCCGGCGCGCGCTGTAGCCTGTATCTTTTCATATCAAAGTGCGAATAAAACGACATGGGTGCAATTTCGTGGTCAGTTAAGTCATGAAGTTACCAAAACCGCGATTAAAGCTGCCTTAAAACTGTGCGTGCATGTAATATGTTATATGTGATTCACATTTAAGAACATGTCTCTGAAATGGTTTTCAAAACTGTCCTGGAGCAGCCCAGCATCTAACACACCCGATTTAACTTGTCAGCTCATTAATAGCGACTTTAAGACCTGAAGTGGGTCAGAAAAGGTAAAGAGATGCGTGTCAAATCCGCGTCATGTTCAGCAGCGGCAGCTCTTAAAGCAGCCAAAATAACCTAATAACCCAGCTGCTGTGATGTCTGTTAATCAAAGAAAAAAAAGAAAAAAGAGGAAATCAATAACTTTTATAGCTTTAAGGATTCATCTATATTTAATTTAGAATTTAGTATTTGATAACTTCAATTTCTGCATATTTCTGCTGAATGGCACAGGTAAATATGACATTTATTATAATGGGTTTATGTGAAGATTGTTTTAAGTTCACTTAAATTAGAAGTTATTTTTTTAAAGCCTAATAAATGTTTAAATTGATATCTGTCAATTACACTTTAATGTTGAATGGCTGTAGTCTACAGTTAAATTTTAGGGGGAAAAAAACATCAGTAGTATTGGTATCAGTGATACTGGCCTTCAGTCATAAAAAAACCATGCCATTAAACAAATATTAAAAATATACTGTCTTTATATTGTTTGTACATTAATTTGAAGATTGAATGTAACATTATTGCAATATAAAGTATCTTTAAAAATGTCAATGTTAGGTGGGATTAATTGCGATTAATTTCAGGAAAAACGTGCGATTCATTTGTTAAATTTTTTTAATCGATTGACAGCACTAATATATTTATTAAAGTAAGTAAGTTACCTATTTAAATTACTAATAGATTTACTTATTTATTATTTATTTTAAATCAGAAAAAAACAATTTCAACCAACATCTACTGTGGCCGCATAGTTTCAAATTGAATGCAACAAATAATATAAAATAAACACACAGAGAAAAATGTATGTATATTTTTATATTTACCAATAAAAAATATATAGTAATAAGATCTATTTATTTATTTACTTACTTAATTTAATTCAGAGAAACTGTCATTGTAACCATTTAAATTGTAAATAAATAAATACAACAAACAAAAATAAAAAATATGTATAAAAATGTATATGTATATTTACTTTTACAGCCATTGTATCCATGTAGATTCAAATTAGAAAATTAAAAAAAATAAAATGAATACAAAGATGCATATTTTGATGTATATTTATCAATATAAAAATATATAGTAATAAAAAGCTATTTATTTTAACCAAACAGCCATTGTAGCCAAGTAGATTTAAAATGTAATGGAAAAAATGCAATGAGAACATAAACACAAATAATTATGTATATTTATATGTATATTTACCAGCATTAAATGTATAAAAATAATAAGCTTATTTATTTATTTGCAAAATCATTGTAGTGTGTTAAATATTACAACAGGCATGTTTCACTATAATAGTTTTAAGTCAGAGACACTATTATATAAAGGCCAAATTAAAAAGTGCATTAAAATGACTGCAGTAGTCACAACTTTGCATAACTTTGTATCATATCAATTTATGCTTTACATTTTTAATTTGAACATTTCTATTCAAACACCTTGTGGTTTCATGCTAACCAGGGCAGAAGTATGTAAGACACTGTGTTTCCATTCCCTCTTTTGAATAGTTTCTAGTTTAGGGACCAAATGTTATCTTCAGACAGTGACAGTATGTCAGTATGTCAGTGAAGGCAGAATCTATGCTCACAAAACAAAGCATAATTTTCTCCTCCTCCTCTTTGAGCAGGTCTTGATATCAGAAGGACTGGGTCGCTATGCCAAGGATCCGAAGTTCGTGGCTGCCACGAAGCACGAGATCGCGGATGCCTGCGAGATGACCATTGACGAAATGGAGAGCGCCGCCAGCCATCTCCTGAACGGCGGCATTACGCCAGGAGTCAATGGCGTCAATGTCTTTCCCATAATGGGCCCCAGAGACTACGAGATGCAGGATGTCTCGGCTAGCTACAGCGACGAGGAACCAGAACTCGAACCCAAACCGCGGTACGAGGAGGACCTGGCAGACGAAATGATATGCATTACCACTTTATAGCACCTGGTTACTGCTGTTCCTCAGAAACTGATCAGTGAAACAAACAAATCTAAAGTAGATTTACTGGCTTACTACCTAAAGAAGTGCCTTCACAGCAAAGCAGAAAGGCACCACAAGAACGGACGCATCGGTGCCGCTCGCTCACTTCCGGTTCACGCAGGAACTTGGTAGTCACGGCACCGGGGAGGAGCTAATTCAAACTCTGAAGGTGAACTTTAATTGGCTGCTTGTACCGTCACTGCAGGAAATGGACCAATGAGCAGCGGGGGGCGGGGGTGGGGGGGCAGGCTGTTTCCACGGTGATGACAATCAAAACGAGTGTCATTACCTCAGTCACTTTATTAAGGGTTTTGCATATCAAGCACGTTGCAAGCTCAATGCAAGCTAAGTACGGCATATCCCTCAACAAAGGCTTTAGTTTTGACTCGCTCCGTACGACTATTTTAGTACCGTTTAAGATCAAGTGCATATTTTAGAGAACAAACGCTAATTCTACAGCACTGGTTTACAATAAGGATATCATGCAGGTTTGTGGATTTGGAGAGGATTTCAGCATTTGTGTTGAATGCACTAGCAGACAGGTTATTTTTTAAATTTAGGATAGCCTGTTTGATATTTCATAATATGCTGTAAATGACTTGTAATATATAAAGCATAAGAAAACTTTGTAAAGAGACATTATATTTTGTAATTATGTACTGTACAAAAAAGAAAATCAGCAATATTAATCCTAATTGATGTTATTGCATTACAAAAAAGACTAAATTTGGTGTTATTTTAATAGGTACTGTACTTTATTATTAAATTCTTTGCCTTTATTCTTTTCTCATATGCATTCTTATTCGTTTGTGAAAAGTATAGAACAAAAAAGCCAATTTTCTATGAGGTTATGTCTGTGACACACCCGCACAAGATATGCAAGTTGTTTTCTCAGTGTCCGTTTCATAAGCGTAACCGACATAGTGTTCCTTTAAAATCTACGGCATGCAGTATGGGGCACGAGCGCCGACCCCCTTCATGAGGACTTTAGTAGGGCTTACAGAATCGTGTCTTAATCGTGCTTTTGTTTGTGTAGATTGGACGAGTCTGTCGAATAGGACTTCCCGTTTTAACGGTTCGTGTTTCGTTGCATATTTTGTGCCGGGGAGGTGCACAGGAAGGTGCAATGGTAAATGCTTTGTGCATTAACAATGCTGCTTAATTAGTCTGCAATTAAACTGTACGACCCACACCAGGAACATGCTGCCACTTGGAAAAGCCTGCTGCCACTGGCTGATCTAGGAATAGCGCACTACAGCAAGGGTTTCGGATTAACGAATTATTTCTACATTCTATTAATGTATTTAGGTGTGCTTTGAATACTGAAATCTTCCTTTAGTTAGTTAATGATGTTGATTACGATGAAAAATGTGATGACGGGGGAGTTTTGGGTTGCTTGAAGTGCATGTTCGCATCATGAATCCTTAACGGAACAGTTCAGGCAAAAACGGAAATTCTGTCTTTATTCACTGACTGTCAAATCGAGTTTTCTCCAGAAGGGAAATTTATTTTTAATGATAACTGTTTGTTAATGTTTTGTTGAAGCCATCCATTCATATTATTTAAAATTTTGTATTGAAAAACTACGTTACCCTTGATCCTATACAGAAAATTCAACCAATTACAGAGTCACATCTCCCAAGAAATATTCATATATTAATATGGATATCAATATGCATTATTTTGCAACAAACCGAAACTTAAAAATCCAGTTTCTACACATATGATCCACAACTTAGTTTTATATTTCTCCATCGTTTTTAATTTTTTGATGTTTGACTGTCATTTGCAGTGCTTTATGGGATTGTAGTTCTTTCCCTCATTTAAGTATTCAAATCTTTTTGTCTGATTTTCAAATACTTTTTCTTTAAATAAAAGGTTGTAATGTGATTCACCTTGTAGCTGGTTGGTTTGATTCATGGCTTATAATGCTTAAATAAAGCCCTCAAAGGAATTTCTACAGAAAAAAATGTATGGAAAAAAAATACTTCCACAAACAATGCCACTGAAAAAGTGGGTGGCCACTAATGCACTCTATACATAGAGAATTTTGGAAAAATGTTCCTGCTCAAAAAGTTATTGTATAGCGTTCCTCTATTTAAAGCAGTAGAGGAAATAAAATGTAAAATGCACACCTTAAAAATGCAATGTAAGTCGCTTTGAATTAAAGCATCTTCCAGATGCATTGATGTAATGGAAATGTAATCATATGCCAAATTTACACTGCAAAGGTGGCACAGAAGTGCTTCTGAAGTGGCATTTAGGTGTTTAATGCGGCTTAGAGGTGAAATAAATGCATTTACACAGATACAAATACAACTGTACTATGATACTAGGGGCTGAGGTGGGTCAGAGCAGGCTTACTTTACTCTGGCTTTTATGTGGCATTGAAGAGTTTGAATTGGAAAGTTAGGAATTTGAATTTGTAAAGTTAAGGGGGATGAATGACAGAATTTTCTTTTTTGGGTGCACTGTTCCTTTAAGTAGGACAAGAAACTGGTTAAGCAATACTTTCCCCCTTATTTGTTTTATTTTACTCTTTCTTACTTTGTTTCTTTCTTTCCACCTCTCACTTAAGCTCTGGCTTCTGGAAATACCTCTTTTAATGCAGGGGAAACATATCAGCATTTGAAGCGTCCTTTTTGTGAGCGTTTTTGCCTTTAAGGTGTAGTATATTACTCCTTAGGCCTCAACTTAGGATACATCAATGCAATTGACCTTTTGTCATTTCTAACAGGCAAATTAATGCTGAATTAATGCATTACGGGCAAAAAAAAGTTTGACTGCAAAGGCCACTGCTTTGAAGTGTAAAGCACTGTTCAGTACAGTTTGATAAAGGGAAATGTGGGGTTTGTTGAAATTCTTGTTCTTGAGTGTTATTGATCTCTTGTGTTTTGGAAGAGTACTGTGCTTTTCAGTCAACCGAATACTGTCATGAAACACTGCGTGTGCACATCTGAAAGTGCTCTCTGAAATGATCCGTGCGGAAAAAAAACTAAACAAAAACATGACATTGTGTTCTGGTCTTTGTCAATTATACTGTATCTTGTAAACGGACCAATGCACATTCTTGGCACATTGTACTATTCGTAGCAATTATGAAGCGTCCTTTTTGTGAGCGTTTTTGCCTTTAAGGTGTTGTAAATCTGTCCTTAGGCCTCAACTTAGGATACATCAATGCAATTGACCTTTTGTCATTTCTAACAGGCAAATTAATGCTGAATTAATGCATTACGGGCAAAAAAAAGTTTGACTGCAAAGGCCACTGCTTTGAAGTGTAAAGCACTGTTCAGTACAGTTTGATAAAGGGAAATGTGGGGTTTGTTGAAATTCTTGTTCTTGAGTGTTATTGATCTCTTGTGTTTTGGAAGAGTACTGTGCTTTTCAGTCAACCGAATACTGTCATGAAACACTGCGTGTGCACATCTGAAAGGGCTCTCTGAAATGATCCGTGCGGAAAAAAAACTAAACAAAAACATGACATTGTGTTCTGGTCTTTGTCAATTATACTGTATCTTGTAAACGGACCAATGCACATTCTTGGCACATTGTACTATTCGTAGCAATTACTGGTGAGGACAATAAAATATGCATTATTTTTAATAAACAAAGAAAAAACTTGTTAAACTAAAGATTTATCTTTTACCTCGTGTCAGGGACTCCTGAAAAGAAAGAAAAAAATGTGGTTTCTTAATATACCAATGGGATTTTAATATTAGCACATTGCTGTTCGTCTTTGCACAAATTACTGTAACGTGCTATTTGTTTTCTATTCATATTTTGTGTATCAAGGTGGGCGAATTTTGTACTATTTTCTGTGACTGTGCGTAAGGTTTAGTGAAATCTATATTTGTCATTTACATTTCACCTTTCAGTGCTGGAGTGGGTCAAACAGAAGAGAGGGGAAAAAGGTGCACTCCTCTGTATTGTTAACATTGATTTGTTAACAAACAAAAGAAAATGGAAAAAAGTATTATACAATTTTCAGAGCCACATCTGTTGATTGTCACAGTTTTATCTAGAGTTGTTGCTACTACTATTATATACTTTTTCTTATTAATGCTGTAAGGAAACATAAGATTATAGTGTAACATATGTACAGAAGTAACGGAAAGATGCTTGGTGATGTTCTCCATTTGAAAGTCTTTATCTTTGCTCTGTTATGGTTTTTATTCCATAAAGAAAAAGAAAAAAAGGTTTTCTCTTCGTAGCAGATGACTTCTAATATCCCTCTAGGTTTTGTATTGATACATTTTTTGTAATTTTCCTATTTATTTTGGCCTGGACTTGATTTGAATCAATATTGAAATTTTATTTTCTAATGATTAATACAGAATAAACTTAATGAATAAACTAATGACTGTGTCACTTATTTGTACAAGAACTTGGAACTGCAATTTATTACATTACAATAACACTTGAGTACAGCTACGGAAAGACTTCAGTGCTAAAAAAATGAGTTCCTCAGTAAATCTATGGGTCAAGGTGTCTTTAATTGGAAAGAAATGTGGAAAATGAATCTGATTATATTGCAAGATTCTTCTGGGGCTCTGGGAGCAGATGATGTAGCATTTAAGAGTTTTAAAATAGAGATTTTTGAATGTTTTTTAGAAGTCTCCATGCTCACCAAAACTGCATTCATTTCATGAAAAATACAGTAAAAACTAATATTGTGAAATATTATTACAATTTAAAATAACTGTTTTAGGTTTAAATATATTGTAAATGATTTATACTTTAGCAGGCATTTCTCTAGTATGAGCCTTCAGAAATCATTCTAATTTGGTGCTCAACAAACAACAATTCTTCTCAGTCGCTTTGGAGCATTTCTTGAATCATCCTTAATATTTGCAAAAAAGTATGTGCATTTCTCAAAATAATTCGTACAAACAGCAGCACACAATGGATTACCTGCAAAACCCTGTATCTCACTCAAAATCTTTAGTTCATCTCTCAAAATTAAGTATTTATGTCATTGAACATCAGTGCCATCAGAATGAAAAGTACTTGTGCCATTGTTCACAAACAAAATAGTTAAAATGCTTAGTCATGTTGTCAATATAACAGTGCACTTTGTTAGTATTACTTAAAGTAAACTATGGCAACATTTTGGAGGACAGTTACTGTATTGAACAGTATGCCATATGCTTATGTATGCCATATATCCATTTCAAAAGTACAAATTTACACATTACTGTATGTGGGATATTGATTGAAAGAGACTTCATAGAATTCCCAGTTACACTTTTACTAGTGGTCTGACCAAAAAAAAAAAAAAACACATTACAATGTCATTGTGATATAGAAAAGGAAAAAGAAATATGGGCACAAAGATGAAAATAAAAAAAAATTAAAAAGTTCATTGTCAGAATTTGTAACTCTTGTGTTGTCCTCTGTCTATACAGTATATGCTTTCCAACTGAAGATTCATGAGATGCAGCTTTGAGGTATTTCAGAGAACTGGTTTGTCATTGGTTGATCTACATTCTCTTCATTAGTGAAAGTCAAGATTCACTTGCACAATTCATGCCAAATTTACAAAAATTCTAATAATAATGTGCAAAAAATGTGCTTGGCAGTTTATGACAACTAGCTGAACCATTTTGCATTTAATGACTTATACGATGAACTAAAGACTAGATGCTTTGAGGGGTAAGACTATTGCACAGAAAACTATATAATACATTTTGAGCAACATTACATTAGCAACTGATAATGTAGCAAACCGCAGATAAATGTACATAATCAATTGCATGAATGTACCAAAGCAATCGCAACTTGTTCAAAAGAATGAGAAACTGCTTTTATGATGTGTACAAATGACTAGATGATGTGGAGGTTGAACAAGTAGTTTTGAGAATTTCATTTCTGATTTGAGAAATGCACCAAAACGACTGAGAAAAACTGTAATGCACTGTTGCTGAATAAAAGTCTGTATCTGCAGTATACACATAGTACAGTATAAGCTAGTATACAATCTAAAATTTGACAAGAGCATAAAATGCACCATTTTTTCCTGTGAGAACATGACAAAAATACTGTCTTGCTTGTCTTTCATTCAGGAAGGTATACATATTTTTTCCATTTCAAATGCTGTCTAGAATGAGAATGTCCCTCTCCCAAAACCAGCTAGTTCTGAACAGCTTTAGCAAGCAGTGAAACAGATGTGATGTGAATGAAAAGGCTGCTGGCCTTAAAAAGGCCACACTATATGTCCCATCTCAACTTCAATAGGAAACACATACAGCAAAGAAAATTGCATTCATCAAAACCATCTCACTTTTAACAGAAAAGCACGTTCTTCATGCTTGCAACATGACTGTAGTGAAACAAACATACAATACAGTAAGTCACTCTGGGCTGATTTTGTTGTTCAATGGTGACACGACGGTCTGAACATCAGATACATCGTCCTCTGAAGGCCAGGGATCCCTTCCACACATCAGAAGGGGTATTGCATACTTCTGGAACTAGAAAAAACCCATCTTTACTACATTATATTAATTTACACTACATTAGATACCAAACGGACATGGTCTTTATTGTGTCAAGCTATGCAAATTATACCAATCCACAAGATTTATCTGCTTGTTTCACTCACCTGTTT